TTTTCACTATTTTACAGACAAAACGATTTATTTTAGTTACAACAAAGACTGCTGTAATGATCTGCTTCTGTCCATTTGTCAGTAGTTTAGCATTACAGTAGAATGTTTTCTTCTATAAATGAGTGTTTATTTGAAATGAATAACTAACATAAAGTGTGTCATTATCAAAGTGCAGGACTACAAGATAATATCCAGGTCATCCAGGTTAGTGCAGCTTTGCATAGCTCAGAGCATGACTAATATTCACAAAGGGACTTTACAGTAAATGGGCAGCGCTGAATGGCTTTAATTAGTAAAGTAAAATATATGAGGTACTGGTTCCTTAATAAATCATGATGACCAGTAAGGACAGTGTAGACTATCAGATGAATTACCAACTGAAACTAAAAAGCTAAATTGCTCCCATCATTGTTAATTCACACAGGTGCTTTTTATGTTTTAGATTCACAGGAAATGATTGTGATCTATTGTGTATTACTGTAAGGAGCTGCCTGCACCAAAACTCTGCCAGAGGTATTTCCATGGTACGCTAGCTAGGGCGCTGCACACTACTTGTTCTGTGAACAACCAATGTAGGAGAGTAACGCATGCATAAAATGTTTCTCTAATAACCTTGTTCCCAGAACACAGAAGCATTAATGGGCCATCGTGAAGCCATTTCTAATGGCTTGCACTGTTAGCAAATGCACTGCAGATTTGTAGTAATTTTAAACTCAGTGGATCAATAGTTATTTTCGACATTTACCCATGTCCATTTCCTCCAACTTCCTCTGTTATTATTCGATTTGAGGGATTTATTGTCCTGATAAGATGATGACATGAAAGTGGAAATTATATGTTTCTATCTAGGATATAATGTCTCCTTCTACAGCAACGTACTGTTCACAAACAGCATCCATAAACCATTATAACCACTAATAATGAATGGATTATTCTGCGTCGACAAAAAAACCCTCTTAAGTGACTTTTAAGGAACAGAAAGTGCCATCAAGATGCACTTTATGCCTTTCCATAGCAGCTCATGTCTACACATAATTTAAACTGGTGCAATGGAAGCTG